AGTTAACAGTTACACAAAGAGCATTTATTAATTTTAAACATGGTAACTCCAAAGTGTATGCACATGATGCAGTTTGTACCATGCATGGGACTTGTGGAACCCCATAAAAAGCAACTCTCAGGGTTCTGTACATAACTCGGTTTCCATGATGATGTTTAACATTTGTTAAAGGTGTTTTCAATTACCCTGGCCCATTAACCCTCAAGTCAGGTGGAAGTTAAGCAAAGCAGAGCTGGGGATTACATGAATTAACCAAAATCTATGTAATCTAATAAGAATGAGAAAGGTGTATGTTGTTTCGCCATTACAGGTGTAAAAAAAAAAACAATAACAGGAGAGAAGCTCCACTCTCTGAGCAGTACATTTTGTAATATTGAACCATTAATCTTTATGACTGTAGGTCTGACCTCTTGCCTCTTTTGTCCATACAGATTTCCCACAGATGCAGTGTATCCGAGCTATTGTTGCCCAGCAGCCCGATGAGCTGTCGTTGGATAAAGCTGATATCATATTAGTGCACCAACAAAGCAGCGACCGTAAGACCACCACACTATCTTTTCATTCTTATCATTCCCTTTCAGAAAGTGCCATTCACCTGTGAAATGTGCAATAAGCATTCAGTTACTTCATGTTGGATTCTTTCTTCTTTCCAGATTGGGTAGAGGGGACCAGACTGTCTGATCGGCATCGTGGGTGGGTTCCAGAGTCCCATTTGGAAACCATAAGCAACTCTAGAGTACGACAACGCAACCTGTCAGATGCCCTCAAACTGACAACGGCCACCGCTGCTGTTTGACTGGGATGCTCAGACTGTGACTAAACAGAGGGGTCGTCCTGTGTGCACCGTAAAAAAGGATGAGACTCAGTTGTCTGCTTCAAACTGCTGGAAAATGGACCATGGACATTCTGTGATGCTGTAGTGTTGAATTGTTCACAGCAACTGAAATGTTGTGAGAATGCATCTCAGTGTAGCATTGGATCTCACTTGTTTCACTTGATGGAACAATATATTGCCTTAGAGCAATGCATGAACTGCTGAGGCCTGCCTAAAAGACATGTGAAAGGACTATGTAACTCTATTAACTGTTATTTACAGTACATAACAAACATTGTATGTGCTGTAAAACATCGATAACTGTTGTTTTAAAAGTTTTAAAGGGCAATCCTATTTTTCCAAGAAATGCTATTCTTGGAAGATGTATTATTATGTGTGTATATTGAACAGAATCTAATAGTTGAGTGAATTATGTTTATTGAAATGTTGGCCCCTGCGTGCAGGAGACCTAAAGAGAATCATACAAAGTGTAAAAGATAATTCAAAGATGCACAGCTAACCCAGTGATAACATTTCAATAAATTAAGATTGGTGGAACCAAATGACTCTCGAACATAATTATGTCTTATTGGGAGGATATCTCTGGGTTGTTTCCATCACATAAGCTGTTTGGATGGAATTGGAATTTTACAAAAAGGGTTAAACTGTGACAATTTGTACATCAATAACAATGTTGCACGTCCACAGCGAGCCTTGAGGCTACTGTAAATTCTGTGTAATTACCGGGCATGTATTTGCAAGAACTGTTTACAGACCAAAACGAACAGTGCAGAAAATGGGGGAAAAAAAAAAAAGGCACTCACGTTAGGCACGTAGCCTCACCAAGGCGTGACCATAGGCGTGACCATAGGCGTGACCCCCTGTTGGCCTCGGGCTCGGCCTAGTTTCCACAAGCTGCTATTAGTTATATGTGCCGTCACTCAGAAAGAACGGGGCGGTGACACATATAGATGGACACCAGTGCTCAGCCAATGAACGCGCTGTAACCCTGCGTTCGGCTCCCTCTGATTGGACACATTCTGCTGTCAATCTACGCTCTCGTCTCTGATTGGTCAAAGGTATGGTGGGCGGGCGCAGCAGTTTGTTGTTGTTTTCGTTCAGCAGAATAAGTCGAGCAGTCGACATCTTTGAAGGAAAACGGCATTCCCGTACGTTATGGTTGTATTTTGAGCTAATAACTTCCACCGCGGGCCTTCTTTCGAGAAACTCGAGGACACAAGGGACCAGTGCAGTAGATCTGGATTTTTCCTGCGCAACTTGTTTTGGTCTTTTTCAAAGGTACGTGAACGCAACAACGTCTGTTAGCTTTTGTTAGCACTAGCGCCACAAACAGCTGATTTCAGATACAGTTATCGAAACCAACCTTTGCGTGTTGTATTAATATTAGAGACGGTGACTTAGCAGTGAACTCAAACCATTCGCGGTAGTTGTTTTTTTGGCTGGTTTTCTGCACACCAGTCCTGGAAAGAAGTCAAGCTGAAAAGTGACGTGGCCTTATTTCACGATGACCCAGCCCACCGAGGAACCGAGTGACCACAACAACCTGCACAACAACCTGCACAACAACCTGCACTCCGAAAAACAACACACACGATTAGTGTGAGCAGTCCGGCCGTCGGTAGTGACCGAGCACGTAACATATTGCGTGGATGAGTGTTTTTACTGTGAGCTTCAGTCTCTGTTGTTTACTCCACCCGCAGCTCGTTGTAAACACTGGCGTCCATTTGGGGGTTATTCTTCTTTCTCATGGTGGGGGCTGAGCGATATGGTAAAAACAAAACATCTTATTAATGACGGTATTAGTGGAAATGATCTTTTTTGCATCACAATTTTCATTTTCAGTGACAAAAATCCCAAATAAATCATGATAATGTGACATTTGCACATGTTTTCTTGGTTACATCGGGACAAGCAGATTTGTAGGCCACGACATCTCAGTGCTTCAATATAATGCTGTTTGTCACACATTTTATTTATAAAATTATATTTATTTATTTATAAAAGTATATTGCACTTGGCCATATTCGATAATATTTGGATTGATTGAGCAGCCCTAGTCCAGGGGTAAAATCTTCAGTCACACTTTATACATTTAATATGATGATATCAGTATTATTATGTATATGACCTATAGGAAATTCATTTGAGGCCAATCCAATATATTAATTAGTTAAAGATTATTTCCATTACCTTCATCTTCTGATTAACCTATGAAACATTAAAAAGTCGTTTCAGCTCTAAATAATGAATCACATTCATATTTCATAACATTGATGCAAAAATCCAGTAAATCCTAAAACACCATGACACCGTCTTACTCACTGATTTGCTACTGGAGATGAACTTGTGGTTGAATGATTCAATCAATCAGTTGAGTCAGTCATTTAAAATTCAAATCGCCAACAGTTTTTATAATTTACTAATCCCTTTAAGCCATTTTAGACAATAATAGATAACAATGAATAACAAAGCAGACATATATAGGAATGGCTGCCTTGGTATAAACAATAATGCAATTACAGATGACAAATGCAGAGCAGTAATAAGGCCTCTACACAACACTTGATTAAAAGATGCCTACATGTCATCTTGCAGTAAACAATGATGTGCTCTTAGTGCGGTCAATGTCACTTGTTGACTGAATGCACTGGTTGGTGAAGTCAGCTAGTGCTCTCTCTCCTTTGTCTGCTTGCTAAATAATGCTATTGTGAGAGACTTTATGTTTTCTGGTGTTGTTTGAGTCCTTGTGTTGTTTTCAGATGGGCAGTCAGTACCAGCGCTCAGTTCCACTTGAGGTGAGGAGATCAGAGGGAGAGAGAGTTCGGGCCAAGCATCCTGACAAGATACCGGTAAGTATGACATCTGGACATCTACTGTTAGTGACTATTTGATAATCACGGTCATATAGACCTTTATCTAAAGCCAGTTCTCCAAATAAAGGATTAGCTCTATGATTTCTTAAGTTAATTTCAGCTGTAAGTAAAAGTGTGAATTAATTTGTTGTTTAGATTCTGGCACATCAACACGTTCACTCTGTTACTGATGACTGATTAATGGTGCGTCTTTTTTTAATCAGATCATTGTGGAGAGGGCCCCGAGGTCACGAGCTCCCGAACTGGACAAGAAGAAATATCTAGTGCCCTCAGATTTAACAGGTGAAAAACAGTCAGAAAAAACTTCAAAATCCCTTAAATAATTCTCACATCCTGCAATCTCATGAGCTACTAAAACTCACAGATCTCCACATTGCAACTATTAACTATTGAACTACATTCAGAATGTAAAAAACAAAAGACTTACTGATGGTTATTATCAGAATCAGAAATACTTTAATAATCCCAGGGGGAAATTACTTTCGTTACATTACTCCATATGTAATAGACATACATATATTAAGAATAAATATATATATATATACAGTATTTTAAATTTAAAGTCACACTTTCAATTGTGCAAAAATGGCAAGTGTAAGGTGTCCGCAGGCCTCCTCTTCAAGCAGAGGCACATAGCAGGATGTTGGCTAGACAGACTTATTTTTGATACTGATATTGATATTTGGAATTAAAATCTGATATCAATACTTTAGCTGATTATGAGTAATACTAAAAAAAAACTTGATATGGATCCATTAGACATTTTTTTTTAAATAAAATTGTGACCAAGATACCGACTGTGGGACATTTTACAGTTTCTGCAATGATGGGACTGTTTCTAAAAGACCTCAGTCTGGGTTTGGTATATTTGTTCTACAACTTTTTTGTTACTCAGTGGGTGATGTATACACAGATATTAATATGTCTACAATCAGCCGGACAATTTATGGGCTACAGAAAGCCACCTGTGACTTGGACAAGACCAGTTCAGCTTTGGGCGTCCAGCTAACTTGCTGCTGACGCACCATCCAAGCCTGACTGGATCAGTCAGTCATTCAGGTGGAAAGCTGAAAGTGACACTAATCTGTCTAAGTTCTTTACAGGCCTGCTGTATTTTTTTTCTGCTAAATGTATAGATGTTTTTTTTTTTTGGCAGACATTTTGACAGGTCATAGTAGGAGAAGCGGAGATAATGACCTTAACGATGGCATCATCCCGAGGTCCTTGGTATTGTGTGTGCTGGCTCACTGTCATGGCTTACTGGGACACTTAATGGAATTGAGCCATCGTTAGTGTTATCATTTTCACCTGTGGATTTCATGCTGTGACAAGTCCAAAAAGTACTGCATAGATAGATAGATAGATAGATAGATACTTTATTTATCCCGAGGGAAATTCAAGTATCCAGTAGCATAC